AAGCTTTGTTTTCTTTTCCTCCCACCCACCTCCAATTCCATGAGCTCAGCCAGCGCTGGGACTTGCACCACAATTGCTGCTGCTGGGAAAGGGGGTTTCCATGGTCTGCAGAGGTTTTTTTGCATTAAAACAGTCCCAGAAGTGAGCAAAACAAGAAGGAAGAGCACAATTTCATCCCGGTTGAGGCTGTGGCTGGATGTCCTCTTTGGGATTGAGCTGTGCTGGCTGGAGATGTTTCTTCTCTGACCCACCCGCGAGCCAGCTCCCTAAATCCCACATTGCTCTCGGGGGAAGGAGTTGGATGGTGCCTTAATTCCCTTCCTGAGAAAAAAATCAACTAGGTTAGATCAAATCACCTTCACCACCCACTTAAAATCATCCAGGTGGCCAACCTCCTCCGGGACACGGTGGCACAAGGGACACCTGTGGGGCTGGGGAGCCGTGCCTCCCCTCGCGCTGCGGCCCCGGTGGCTTTTAGTCTCGTTTTTTTGCAGGTACGGGCAGCTGAGCGGCATGGTGGAACCTTTAGCCGGCGTCTTCGGTGCCTTTGCCGTGGTGGTGGCAGAGCCTCTCCTCCCCTACGCCTTGGGCTTCGCCGCCGGAGCGATGGTCTTCGTGGTGATGGACGATATCGTCCCCGAGGCGCAGACCAGGTGAGACCAGGCACGGTGGGAAGCGCCGAGAAGCGACTCTGGAAGATCCTTCCCCTTACCCTGATGAGATGCAGAACGGCGTTTCCCTCATCCAAAAAAAGCTGGTTCCGGCAGCTCACGCCCTCCCTTCTCTCCCCGCAGTGGCAACGGGAAGCTGGCGTCCTGGACCTCGATACTGGGATTTGTGGTGATGATGTCCCTGGACGTTGGGCTCGGGTAGGGCAGTGCCCCCAGCAGACGACTTCAGAGCCATTTGCGCAGCGGCGTTTGGAACTGGACACGCGTTATCCTCTGGACTTCTTTTGTATATAGATTTTTTTTTTTTTTTGATCTGGTTTGGTGTTGATTTCCTATGATTTTATAGCTCCTCCTCCCCTCCAACATCATGCTGATGGTTTTCAAAGCACAAATGCAGGTGGTTCCTTGCAGGTCCTGGTTTCCTTTCGCCACCAGCTTTTCTTTTCCTCTCGGGAGGGTCGTTGGAGGATGCGTCGGCCGGGCTGCAGGTCACCCTGTCCTTTCCCCTCCACGCTGGGCTGGTTTGTCCGAGTCAGGTCGTTCTGGGTTTTGATCATCCTTGTTCTGCAGAAGATTAGAAATTCACTGTCGTGTGTTTAAGCTGGTCTGTGCTTAAGTACCGAGGCATTTGAATGGTGTAAAGCCCATCCGGAGGCTCAGTTTCCACCCTTTTTTTGGTGGAAGGCGTTAGGGCTGAGATAACACGTGCAGCGCTTTGTGGCGTCGCAGGTCTCACGTGTCCTGCTGGCCCTTGGGAATGTTTTAGGGTGTTTGTTTTGGTGGCTGAAAATAGTCCAGGCAAATAAAAATGGATTTTCTTGGGATCTCTGTAAGGAGGAAATGGCATTTTTTCCTAAAACTATCTCCTACATGGGGCATTGATCCGATGTGTTATGTCCAAAACCCTGAGGTTTTCTCTGAAAAAAAAAAAAGGGGGGGAGGAAAGAAGGATTTTTGAGTTTTCTGGCATGTACTCTTTGGAAAGGCATGTTCATCTGTGTCGTCGTTGATGTCCTGCCCGCCTGGTGTCCAGCAGGAGACGTTCCCACTGTGACTGTGTCTGGCCTCACCCAGCGATGGCTGGTTTAGGGGTCTGGTTCCAGCGGTTTGTAACTCCTCGAAAAGACAACACAAAGTTTTTCCCAGCGGTGATCGCGCTTCACCCCATGGAAAAGCTTGAAGCCCAGCGAGGAGCGGAGCGTGCCAGAAGCTGCCGTCTTCCTCAGCATCAGCAGGGTGAAACAATTCATCAGGGTTGAATTAATTGCCCTACCTGAAGAGCCAGAAACACGCGCCGTGTGTACCGGCCCCTTCGCCCGCCCCTTTGCGAGCGTCTCTTGTTGCAGGGCTGTTGCTGAGCAGCAGGATGAGTCCCTTCCAGGCTGAGCAGCAAGTCCTGCCCGTCTCTCCCCGTACCCCGGGAACGCTCGAGCGAGGAGCAAACTGTGGAGCTGGGAGGATGCTGTGAGCCACACCTCCCTCTGCCCCGAGGATGCTTCTGTCATCGCTAAAAAAGGGGATCC